TTGGATTTGAGTCTTACCATGGTCCCACCACTGCCTAAGACTACTAAAATCACCCTTCCTCTGTCTAAAAACACCCCAGAAATATTTTAAGACCTCCCTAAAACTTTTATCATGCACTAAGGTGGTGGAGGTGGTTGATTCTAGCAAATAATACGGGCGCATTCCCACAGCCAGCAGTTCAATGTCCGGGGTACAGAGACGTTCCTTCACACTGACATGTCCGGGATTGCACCACCTCTCACTCACATAAAGTGCAAGCCCGCCACCCTTCTTCTTTCGACTTTTGGAACACCCTCTGGGTCTTCACCAGCGCTGAAAGTTCGTCCATCTTATTCCCCAAAGACCTCACGTTTCCCATTATAATCGCTGGGACCGCTGGCTTGTGTCTTCTCCTTTTCTCCCTCCGTTTGGTTCCAGCCCTGCAACCCCGGCGTCTCCTCCGTAACTCCTACTGCTTAAAATCTTCACGTTTTCCACCAGAAAATCACACTTGAAAAACCAACAACACGTGACTTAATATCCGAGTTAACAGTAATGATTGTAATGTTTCCCCATAACACATCATGGACAATTGGTAATTAGTATTTCAGGTTAATGGTAAAATGACCCATAACTTTCATTCTCAATCATAATTGTGCAAATTACTGTAATAACCAAAATGCAGCGAACTGTAACATATCCAAACCTCTGTAAAGTGAAAACAGTGGAGTTTATGTCTGGATTATACTGTTTAGACAGTGCAGTGGCATTTTAATTAGTCCATGTTTTTACTGTCTGCAGACCACCTGACCGCAGCGTGTGCAAAGTATTTGGGGCAAGAGTGGGGTTGGGAGCTGAGGGGATTTGTGAATTGATATTTTGCTTGATACATTTTCAGAATATTTATGTAAGGTTGAGTGGTAGAGCCAGTTCTAAGAAGAGAATTTACTCTTTTTTTTGTTAAGTAAATTCTGTTAATATGCAACATTAAAGCTGTCCCTGAGCTTTCCCGGGGCAAGCATTATCACAAATGTAATTACTTGCCGTATGTGCAAAGAATAAGATGGACTGACTAAGAGTAACCATTTTAAAACCTTGTCTCGGTTTCTGGTTAATGCACTCTGCAGCCATTCTCCTCACCAGACCTAACATTAGCAGCTTACTGTGATCCTTCAGGGAGAATTTACAACTGTGTGTGTGTCTTGGCAGATGCGTGCCCATGTGTGAATATTTCCGACTTCTAGTCACGTCAGAGTTGTATGTCACCATTCTGCTAAATGAGGTTTCCAATTACCCATGCAGTTGGCTAAGTCAAAGTTTAATGTGTGGCTCTGGCTGTATCTGGCCCTATCTCTCTCCAAACAAGGAGAACAATCAATGCTGTGGTGGGTGTACAAACCAGAAGCTACAGACGGATAGAAGAACAAGAAGAGGGTGAAACATGACATGTGTTATAAGACACCTCCATTCTTTTCTTTTGTCTCTCGTTCTCTCTCCAACTGTATCCATGGTTTTCACTCGCACACACGCTTGCATGCATGCACTACAGCTACGCCCCAAAGTCAAAAGTTTCCATGATTCTCAGTTCTGTTTTCTAACACCAGGGAACTTTCATCTGGGTGCCTTACAGACCAGGAAATGAACAAAAATTGTAGAAGCAATAGTGCAGAGACAAGGAAATGAGAAGCATACAAACAGGAATCAAATGACACACACATGTCTTCGGTGTTCTGCCTTCGAAACAGGAAGCCAGTGAAGGAGAGATTGTGACGAGTAAAGTTGTTAGATTTCATTGAATGTTGCTGGTTTGTGTTGACCCTTTAATCCAAGAACTCAAAGTTTATGATACAAGCAGCCTGTGGAAAAGTAACTCAAATGTTGCCTAAGACTGAACAAAGTTATGAAAAGTATGATGTCCACTTGGACACATATTTTTCTATCTTTTCCCAGTTGGCCCTGTAAAACCTGTAAAACTCAAATACACTGTGTTTCATTGTTCTCTTGAAAAAGTATATGGTTTCCTAGTGGTTCTCACCTGTCATGTCACAAGCTGATGCTTCCTTGTTGTCAAGTTAACTTCTGAGATACTATATTTGTCTGTTGGTCCTTGCCGCTGTGAATTGTTTGGGTTGGAAAAATGTACCACTGGGGACATAATTATTATATATTTTTTTTAAAACATGGTAATGATGTTATTTGTTATTTTGAAGCAATGATAGCCGTATTGGATGGAAATGTCGGCCTGTCCATCAGTCTACCTCTTTGGTCCTTACAGAAAGTAAGACAACAACTATTAGAGGGATGAACATAAAATTTCCCGCAAACATTAGTGACCCACTGACTTTTCATTCAAACTAAAGACATTCCCATTAACCTCAGCTGCGTATTTAGTGCTAATTAGAAATTGTTAGCATGCTAACACATTAAACTAACATGTTAAACATTATAGCTGCTAAACATCAGCATGTTAACAGTGTCTTTCTGAGCATGTTAGCATGCTAGTGTTAGCATTTAGCTCAAAGCTCTGCTGTGCTTTAGTACAGCCTTAAAGAGCTGCCGACATGGCTGTAGACTATTAGTCTTATCATATTAGACACCCTTGTTGCAAAGGCGCAAACATTACAACTTACAGGGGGACCAGGTGTTTTTTGCCGTTTTTTTTGCTAAAAGTTCAAGATTGATTGATGTGAATGTCATGATATTATTGGCTGAAATCAGTTAGTTCGTGCTTACATTTTGTTTTAAAGGAAGACAAAATTATTGAAGTTTGATACAAAAATACAAAGAATTTTTTTGTTTTTTTGGCATACATTGTTAAATAGGGTTACAATATAACCGAGGATGCAATTTTTAAAGTGTTTAAATTACATTT